TAAATCCAAACGATCGATGTATTGTCCCCCTTGAAGAACCTACTTGAGCGAGAGAACATTCTAGAAGCTACTCGTGTCTGACTAGAAATAGAGCGTCGAGATTTAGATTAGCGAGAACAGATAGAAATAAGTTTTAGAAATAACCCATCAATGACGCACTTAGCACAATATATATTAATATTTTGCAGCTGTAACATATGCCATTCATAAATACTTCAAGAATTAGTATAACCCTTTTTGTCAGTCGTGGGTTATCTAGTATAGTCTCGACAAATCCAACGTAATTCATACATCGAAAGAACGATCAATATGCATGCCAATTTAGAATAACGAATTCCAGTTAAAGCAGTAATAGAGAGAGAGAGAGAGAGAGAGACATAGAAAAAGAGAGAGAGAGGGGGGTAGATGGTTACGTCCACTCAACATAAATTAGGTCATTTTGGGACTAACATATCGTTAAATTTTATTTCAATAGTTCGCTTGGGAGGAAACCGCAGGACCCGGAGAAAATCTACAAGGCTGGACAGACGACCCCCCCCCCCCACACACACACACACACAGACACCAAATCGGTCGTAAATCTATGCAAGTCTTAGATCAACTTGTATTAATCCAAACTGTTGAATATGCACATTGATTTAGAAAATCTAACAGTTTTTAAGCTCTGATACTTTCTGTTTTTATTAGCCCGGTCGGCTCAGGACAGTAGGACGTTAAACTTCATTTATAACACCTTCTTCAATAATGTCCATTGTTTGTCCATCTATGACGTCACTTCCTTTAAAAATACATTTTTTTTTTTGCTAGCCTACTAATTTAAGAATTTGAGTTTTCAAACGTTGTACTCTAGAAATTCAATATGTTGACAGACGACCATAATATAATATGCGTTAACTCTGCAATTATTAACAATATTATAGTTATAGTTCACTTTGGATTTTCTTGAAAATAACAACGAATCAATAAATGTTAGTCTATTAAAAATTTCAATTAAGGAGTATGGATCGATACAAGTGCCAAATTGGGAAAATAAATTCTTATTAAGGAGTTTAAATTGTAGTTCATTTATGATTTGCTTTACAATGTAATCAATAATGATAAATAAGTGAAATGAGGTTTAGCGTTCTACTGTTCTGCCCCGACCTTGACACAGAAAGAGAGAGAAATGTTGGGCGTAGGGGTCTTTAGCAGTGGGATGAAACCGAAGGTCCCGGAGAAAACCCACGAGGTTGCACAAGCGACCCTACTCCTTGTCACGTACAACCGGGGAATCGAAACAACGCCAGTTGACTCAATGACAGACCTTATGATGCAGCGAGCACACGCTAACCATTCAGCCATCCAATGTTTTTGTAGCACACAATTCTACATGAAAATAGTGTTGGATTATTATAAATTTGTGTCGGATGTGGCAAAAAATGATTTATTTTGGCGATCAAAGAAAAATCACGGTGAAAAATAGACGGTAAGGATTTAAAAAAAAAGCCTTAGAACCGAGATGGGGGGAAAGCCTTATTTTCATATTAGTTGTCATTAGGACGCGCCAGTAACGATGAGAGAGCACAAATGGTCTCTAAGTGAAATGAAATGAAATGGGATTTAACGTCCTACTGTTCTGCCCCTATGCTGGGCTAATGAAGACGGGCATACGCCATACAGTGTGCCATGAGGGAAATTTTGCCCGGGCAGCGGCACTATCGCCTACTCTTATATCGAATTCCAACTGCCAAGGGATCTTTTACGTGCATTCTAATGTAAACACGGGACCTCGGTTTTTCGTCTCATCCGAAGGACTAGACAGCTGTCCTTGTCAGGCCCTCCGTCCGGGTCTCTAAGACTTCGTTACTAAAGTAACTATCTGAATTAATGAACCGGCACCATGGATACCCGGGGTAATGGATATCAGCTGGATATACCAGGATCGAACCCTGTTAGTGGTCGGGGACCAGCACGACATTGACCAAGCCACCATGACTCCATATTTCCAGGGTAATGGATATTAGCTGAATGACCTATAGCTGAAGGGTGTTCAATTAACGTTTGTAATACCGAGTGTCAATTGGTGTTAATCATTGAATAGATGGATGTTAAATGGAGTAGCTGAAACCACCGTCTAACCTGTTTCTGGTGCTGGAGGCCAATGATGTGTGGTGATACACCGATTATAGACCTTTATTTCCTCTATGTCAGGATAAATCACAATCTATTTCGCCCACGCTCCTCGAAAATCAGAAAATAATATAAAACATTACTTTCCAGACGCCAGTATAGGAAAACTGGCCAATAGAGCATGAACAAAACTGACCTTTAACACTGGCATATGTGTAGTGAATTTACTGGTTCATTATAAATATAAAGCGACGTTTCAACAAATGTTCTTTTATCTCTGATAGTATAGGTTTTGCAATACAAATGAGATAGTAAAGTTTTGTGGCACAAATGATCGTAGAGTTTTGCAGCACAATTGATAAAAGTTGGTATTTGTAGCACAAATGAGATAGTAAAATTTTGCTGTACAAATGATAAAAGTTGGTATAGTTTTGCAACACAAATGAGATAGTAATGTTTTGCCGCACAAATAAAATAGTAATATTTTGCCGCACAAATAAAATAGTAATATTTTGCGGCACAAATAAAATAGTAATATTTTGTGGCACAAATAAAACAGTAATATTTATTGTTTGAATGTTTGATTCAAGATGGCTACCTGAGGGTTGCACTGTGTTTTGGCTCTCACTTTTACTGATATTTTAGTGTGTTTTACTGAAGTTTTGCTACCTAGATTTTCACTAGAGTTGTGTCTTATATTCTGGAATTGGTTTTACTGACAACTGTGTTATTTTATTTGGTGATTTACAAGATATATCAATTTCTTTAAATTGGTTGAACAATATATGACAATGATCACATATAGTAGATAAAAACTCATGTCAATTGGTGAGCTTCGATCATCTCAACTTTGTAACAATCAAGTTCTTTTCAACTTCCCCGAATTGTTTAGTGCAGTAGATACTAAGGAGGTGAATACATTTCAGCACACAAATCAAAACATTCAAGTAAAAATCACTAGTAAGCCAAGGAAAACAAACAAAAGAGGAGTTAACTTTAATAACTTAAGATATCCAATTTTAAATCAGGATAGTAAAACTATCTCAAAATCCAACATCAAATTCTGCTTACTTAATTGTCAATCAGTTCGTAATAAAACCAGTGAACTTAATGAATTTTTAATTGAGAATGATCTTGATATATTTGTGGCTGTGGAAACTTGGTTAAAATCTAATGATGACACTGTAATAAATCACCTACTTCCATTGGATTATGGAATTGTCCTAGCGAATCGTATTCAACGCAGAGGAGGGAGGGTTGCAGTGATACATAAAAAATCGATTAACACTTCCATTATTCAATCTCATTCATTCAAAAGTTTTGAAATGCTCCATGTGTTACTCAAATTGAATAATGAATTAGTGAAACTTGTTTGTATATACAGACCACCACCTTCAAAGTCTAATTATTCATCTTATGACTCAGATTTCCTGCATGATCTCTAGTCATCACCGGGGCGTTTACTTCTGGTAGGCGACATTAATATTCATCTTGATAAACCTAATGAAAAAGCTCAAAGTCAGTTTTCTGAAATTATTAATACCTTTGATCTGGTACAAAACGTAAAGAACGCAACACACTCCAAAGACCACCTGCTAGATGTTATAATTACAAAATCTTCTGATGATCTTATCGAAAATTTGCATGTTGAAAACAAGTGTATATCTTACCATTTCTGTGTTTTTACAGATCTTACCGTTTCAAAGTGTAATGTTTCGAGGCACAAATAAAAAAGTAATATTTTACGGCACAAATAAAATAGTAATATTTTGTGGCACAAATAAAATGGCAATGTTTTGTGGCACAAATGAAATGTTATGTTTTGTGGCACAAATAAAATAGTAATGTGTTGTGGCACAAATGAGATAGTAATGTTTTGTGGCACAAATGAGATAGTAATGTTTTGTAGCACAAATAAAATAGTATTGTTTTGTGGCACAAATAAAATAGTACTGTTTTACAGCACACGTAATGCTAATAGTTAATATATATAGAAATTAGTTTTTGGGGTTAAGATTCCTTGTTATATATTTGTTTTCAACTTGCAACCAAGTCGTTGGTCTATTTATAAAACAGACCCAGATCTGGTGTATAACTCGACCATCGTTAACCCTTCTCAATATTATTGGTAATAAAGATATGATTTTGAATTAAATCTGACAATTCCAAAATAAAAATGGAAACCTTAGAAAAGGTGAAATGAGTCAAATTGGTCAAAGTGATGCGACCTACAGAACACCTACAAGTTTATTCCTTAAAGCGGTGATAAGTGTACGCAAGTCGTCGGATTTTAATCATACTGATCAAGTGTTGAAAATGGATATTAATTTAAACATTTTAATAGTTTAAGTGCGGTTATTTGCAATATTCTTGAATAATACGGTATTAATTTGATTAATTTATAGTAATCCGCCATGTGATTGACACTCAGTGTAATGGTTAATCTAGGATAAATTTGATTAGAATTTTAAGATTTTTTCCGCAAGTTTTCAAAAAGAATCGCCAGTACCCCAAAACGTTGTGGCCAAAATTATTATTAATTATCACTTACATCTTTGAAATGACTTGTGGAATATGTCTAGCCTCATTCGTCGAGTCCCTTATTACAAATGGCGCTGAAACGCATTATGGTACACGATTCGTGTAACCTACCAATGGTAAAATGTCTATTTTGTCTTGAATATTGTATATCAGAAGTCCATCTTTTCCTGGTAAGATCACAGCATCAATGTTAATTTAAATTGACAAATATTTCGTGTTTTTAATGTGGAAGACTTTGGATGATACTGAGTAGGAGACTTGGCTACTTTAAACCCGTTCAAAGGCTGGGTGGGATTGATTTGTATTGCTACTTTAATTTCACAAATTATATATTTGTTTTTTATTTGTAGGCCCAGAATTTGATCATTCCTGGTATTCCTAAAGATGTGGACGTCAATCCTTACGTCAAGGCGTTTCTTGTTCCAGGAAGGGCTGTTAAATATAGAACAAAAACATTCTCGAAAACAAAGGTAAGACCTCAACTTGATATCAATGATGCCATATCCTTAACAACACAGACCACAGATTTCATTTCCTGCATTACAATGATCACCATACACAAGATTGGAGAGAGAGAGAGAGAGAGAGAGAGAGAGAGAGAGAGAGAGATGGATGGGGTTTAACGTCCACTCGAAACAAACTAGATCATTTCGGGACTAACACATGGTTCAATTTTATTTCTATAATTCGCTTGCGCGTAGGGGTCTTTAGCAGTGGGAGGAATTGCACAAAATTGTAACAGCAATGATGTAAGATGGGAAACCATAAAGGCAGGGCCCTTGAGAGGAAAAAAAATGTGCTGGGGCGAGACCTTCCCCCACCCCCCACCCCTGACTTTCCCCCACTGCTTTCCAACACTAGTTATATCTAGATGATTCACTAGCAGATTGCGATAATGCAACCCCCCCCCCCCCATACACACACACACACACACACACACTGCTCTCCAACACTATTCATATCTAGATGATTTTCACTAGCAGATAGCGATAAAGCGAAAATTTGTGTACCTACTTATATAAGCTTCAAAGGCACAATAAAAAATTCATGCATATATAATTGCCCATTTCAATTTTGACTAATAAGTGAAGGGTGGAGTGGGGCGAGAAATGCAAAGGATGGCCATCAGCTTTAACTAACGGTAAATTTGATTGCATAGTACACATTATGGCGTATGCACATCTTCATTTTCCCGGTCAGTTCCAAAACGTGGTACGTTAAACCCCATTTTTATTGGCATTGAGACACCATGAGCTTTTTAAAAGCAAAATGTATGAACAAGCAGTCAACATAAAAATATATTGCTATAAAATAATGTCTGCGTCATCTCATTAAGAATGACGTCAAAGTCTTTTCATTCATTTTTTTTTTGTCAATCACAATGAAAAAATATAAATGAAAAACAGCAATAATTGATTATATAAAAAAAAAGTCATTCCGACATCAAACAGGCTTTCAATGAACAATATGGGAAAATAAAGTTAAGAGAAAATTTTATAAAAAAGGCAACAGCAATTGTGTGATTTGTTATTAGACACCATTTTGTGCATTAAGGGATCTTCATCATTCTATAGTTGATAATCTTTTAAACAACTTCTTCAGCTCCGGTGATAAATTAGCAGTTTTTTTTAGCCATTAACAAAGGCATAGAGCTAATATAATATAGCTTAACGAATGGAAACCTCGGCAACTTCCTGAAAGCTCAAGCTTAAAGAGAGTATTAGGCAAATAGAATGCATTGAAAAGCAACGTCGTCATGGCGACCAAAAATCTTGTTGTAACGAAAACAATTGGATGCCCCATGCTTTCAACTCATGAAATGACCAGAGTTTATTAAAAAATTTTAATAGAAAACTTGATGGTATTCTTAAGGGAGCCATGGTAGCGAAGTGGGTAAGAGTAAGACGCTGGCTCGCTAGTCTGGAGATCACGTGTTCGATCCCTACATTGACAGAGGAAGTTCATCGGGATTCTCCAACGTGGTATCCCCTAGTCAGTTTTCCTGTGTACACATTGTAGTGCACATAAAAGATCCCTTGGCAATTGGAATTCGATATAAGATTTGGACAATTTGCCGCTTCCTGGGCAAAATTTCCCTCATAGCACACTGTATGGCGTATGTCCATCTTCATTAGCCCAGTCGGAGCAGAACAGTAGGACATTAAACCTCATTTCATTTCTAAAGGAAATTTTTCCGTAATCGAACGAGATTTCAAACTGAAATATTACGCTACAGTTAAATTCGCCACTGTAAATTAAGATAAGACAGGGGAGAATGACGTTTAACGTCCTCTAAACACAAACAAGTCCGAAACCACGCCACTTGACTCACTGACAGACCTTATGATCTAAAGCGCACACTTTAGACCACTCGAACAAACTTTACTCTTCGAAAATTTTTATTTTTGTTATTTTGTCTATCTTTATGTTTACACCATGAAGGGTTTAATATTCACTTTTTTATGGGGGGGGGGGGCTTTGGAGGGGTGCGTTTTTTGTTGGGTTTTTTTTTTTTGGGGGGGGGGGGCGGTTTTTGTTTAATTTTTGATATTTTGTATTTATGCCATTCAAGTTTTTTTAAATTTTATTATTATCATTACTTGTAAGATTTTATTTTGAAATTCTGGAATTACGCCATAATGGTTTTTAGTTTTGTTAATTTGTATTGACGTACTGGAAGAATATTTACAATTAATTAAAATCCTTTTTATTTTCAACTTGGTTTGCCATTTTACACGTATTTGTATATTACATTTCTGATTCATGTTTGTATTGGAACTGTAAACAAAGCACCGGTATAGTGCACATATACGTTTATAAGATATATAATCTATATACGTTTATAAGGAAAACAATACATATTATATGTTTATAAGGGAAATAATGCACATACTGTTATAAGAGAAATAATGCATATATTTTAATAAGACAAATAATGCATATATTTTTATAAGACAAATAATGCATATATTTTTATAAGACAAATAATGCATATACTTTTATAAGAGAAATACTGCACATACGTTTATAAGACAAATACTGCACATAATTTTATAAGGGAAATAATTCATATACCGGTACTTTTATAAGGGAAATAATGCACATACTTTTATAAGGGGAATAATGCACATACTTTGATACGGGAAATAATTCATAAACTTTTATAAGGGAAATAATGCATATACTTTTATAAGGGAAATAATGTATACTTTTATAAGGGAAATAATTCATATATTTTTATAATACTTTTATAAGGGAAATAATGCACATACTTTTGTAAGGAATATAATTCATATACGTTTATAAGGGAAATAATTCATATACTTTTATAAAGGAAATAATGTACATACATGTACTTTTATAAGGGAAATAATGCACATACTTTTATAAGGGAAAAAATATACATATATTTATTAGGGAAATAATGCATGCATTTTGACAAGGAAAATAATGTATATATGTTTATAAGGGAAATAATCCATATACTTTTATAATGGAAATAATGCATGTATTTTTTAAAGGAAAATAATACATATACTTTTATAAGGGAAATAATGCCTATATCTTTATAAGCGAAATAATGCACATACTTTGATAAGGGAAATAATGCACATACTTTGACAAGGGAAATAATTCATAAACTTTTATAAGGGAAATAATGCGTATACTTTTATAAGGGAAATAATTCATATACTTTTATAAGGGAAATAATGCACATACTTTTATAAGGGAAATATGCACATACTTTTATAAGGGATATAATTCATATACTTTTATAAGGGATATAATTCATATACTTTTATTAGGGAAATAATGCACATACTTTTATAAGGGAAATAATGCACATACTTTTATAAGGGATATAATTCATATACTTTTATTAGGGAAATAATGCACATACTTTTATAAGGGAAATAATGTATATATATATTGATTAGGGAAATAATGCATGTATTTAAATAAGGTATATACGTTTATAAGGGAAATAATCCATATACTTTTAAAAGGGAAATAATGCACATACTTTTATAAGGGAAATAATGTACATATATTTATTAGGGAAATAATGCATGTATTTTTATTAGGGAAATAATGCATATACTTTTATAAGGGAAATAATGCCTATATCTTTATAAGCGAAATAATGTACATATTTTTATAAGGGAAATAATTCATATATTTTTATAATACTTTTATAAGGGAAATAATGCATATACTTTTATAAGGGAAATAATTCATATACTTTTATAAGGGAAATAATGCACATACTTTTATAAGGGAAATAATGCGTATACTTTTATAAGGGAAATAATGTATACGTTTATAAGGGAAATAACTCATATACTTTTATATGTACATATATTTATTAGGGAAAACAGGAATTTGCAGGTGACATGACAGATGCGGATGGCCAAGGATAATTACATATAAATCTAAATATCCTTTTATTTTAATGAAACTAGACACGTAAACTCTGATATTTAGAATTTCTTTTAACAATGACAATATTCTGTTAATTCCTTTAATACTCTTGGAGATATCGTTGGCAATGCCAGACGATCCGTGTCTAAAAAGAGATGTCTGAGTTACATACGAACGTTCTCAGACTTGACATGACATCTTCTAAAGGATTGTGTTCATTAGCGACGAGATTAACGGGAATCAACGCTTTGGGGGTTACATCTTCGACAGGACATTTTATCTAGGGACGTGTTTCCTAGTGATGAGCTTAAAGGGAAATTAGGGGGTTGGATGCCCGAATGGTTAGCGCGTGCGCGTTGTATTATAAGGTCTGTCATTGAGTCAACTGGCGTGGTTTCGATTCCCCGATTGTACGTGACAAGGAGTAGGATCGCCTGCCTAACCTCCTGGGTTTTCTCCGGGCCCTCCGGTTTCCTCCCACTGCTAAAGACCCCCTACACGCAAGCAAATTAGAGAAATAAAATTGAACCATAGGTTAGTCCCGAAATGACCTAGTTTGTGTCGAGTTGGCGTTAAACCCCAGTCTCTCTTTTTTTTCTCTCTCTCCCTCCCCATCTCTCTCTCTCTCTCTCTCTCTCCCTCCCCATCGCTCTCTCTCTCTCTCCCTCCCCATCTCCCTCTCCCTCCCTCTCTCTCTCTCTTAGTGATAAGTTTAAAGGGAAATTAACGTTTTTGTACTCGATCTTCACTAGGTACAAAAAGGTTGGGAGTTACATACATGTACGAACGATTTCAGACATGATATCTTCTCGAGACTTGTGTTTATGAGCTTAAAGGGAAATTACAGCTTTTGAAGTCTTCGTTCGATCAAAAGGTTTGACATGTTCAAAGGAAATTGTGTGCCACATTTGAGACACACTTGTCAATCCATCACTTAGATCACGTTGTCTAACTGTCGCCCAATCTGATTAAAACACAGATCCTATTTTGTTTCGTTTTTATAGTTCAAAATTTCGTTTTACTTGTCTTTACTACACTAGGATCTGGAAGAGTTGTTATCATTGACGTGTTCTGAATGGCGTGAGAGATTAGCCAATGACACAGTTTGTTACGGCGAGCTTTGGGCGTGTTTTTCACGGAACTGTGGGTAATCCACTAGTAACATCAATGCTGATCGGTTAATCAAATGTCTTACGTCATAGGGTCAAAAGTCGCTCGTGTGAGCTCTAACGCGACCTATCGCTACAAATGGTCAGATCTTCATGTAGTGTAGGCCATCGAAAGGATAAAAAAAAACGAAACGAAATATAGATCCGTATTTTAATCCGATTGACTGTCGCCATGCACTAACAACGGTACCCAACGGTTCAACACTCTTATTATATCTGTGCGCTACCTCATCAATTCTTAACCAGTTTTTTACTTGTTTATTATATTCGTATAATTGTTTTTTTAAATTATTTCATGTGTTTCAGAATCCGTTATTTTTGGAGAAATTTTGCATTAAGGATATCGTACCGAGTGAAATAAATGAAGACTCGGCCATAGAATTCCAGGTGTATTCATCACATCACGTGTCACGTCGCCATCTTGTCGGAGTCGGATCAGTAAGATTAATGGATGTAGAAAACCTGAGTACTGGACAAGTCGATTTAACTCTTTATCCCCAAACAGTTTACAGGGTAAGTAGGTTTGACCTTTGACCTCTGTGTCTTTATAGCTTGAACTTTAAGCCTCGGTCACAACTTCTGGTCACGCAGGTAGTTGACGGCAGTTCGTTAGAGCGTAGACTACGGTCATTTACGTTAAAATATTTGGAGCTAACCACGGTCAAATTATCGGTTTCTTGAAGTTCAAATTACATTATAACACCTACATGACGCCCATCTGTGCTGTTGGGTCTACTTTTATTTCCATGTCCATCTGATCATTATTTATGTTTCTATAGTTACATCAAGGTGATTTAAGAATATCCGGTTGTTATCAGCCAGTGGCGGGAAAAATCGTTTTCAACGTGTTGGAAGGAAGAAATCTACCTAGGGTATCATTACTCGGAGCAATAAGTAAGTTTTTTTTCTTCTCATTTTTGATAATCGTAGTTCATAAATTAAAGAGGACAATATGGAGTAACATGTTTTGATCTCCTTAATATCTAAGGCGCCTTACGGCGGCCATTTTGTTTTACTCCGTTTTTATAAGCCCACATTTTCATGTGGACGTAATATGTCGTCGCCCATGTTCGTCCGGACGTCTGTCCAAAATTTGTTTGTGGACACTCAAAAGGTCACAATTTTTGAGAACTTCAATTGGAGAAAATTCTTAAAATAAAGTATCTAACTGTAGATTTTAAATGAATTGGATTAGAGAAAAGAGATGGCCTATTTAATCCGCCCTAAAATATAGTCAAGGTGGTGATTTAAAATTCATTGACGAAGACAAAATTCAAATATCGATGGTAGTTACTCGCCAGGCCTGGGTTCAATCCAGTTAAAATGGGATCCACCAAACGATTTCACCGAGATTCATAGAGGTTGATAAAATTCTATTTATCGTCTACACAAATGTTGAATGATGACAAATAGTCGTTTGGATGGGACAAAAAAAATGCGCTTGGCAGATGGTATTCCATATAAAAGTAGGCCGTAGTGCCATTTGCCAGGCCCAAACTTCAACGATAGCACATTGTATGGGGTATGCCCGTCTTAATTAACTCAGTCGACACACTAGAGCAGCAGGACATTAAACCCCATTTCATTTAATTTCATTTCGTGTTGATTTTTGTTCCAGATCCGTATGTTAAAGTTGAGATGTATGTCAATGGTATCCGGGAAACTAAACATAAAACTAAAGTACGTCAGAATACCCAGGATCCAGTGTGGCATCATCAGTGTGTGTTCGATATCAACAGAGAGAATCCCAAATTACTGGGTCACGTGTTCGTATTTCACGTGTTACATAAAGATATGATGACAGGTGTTCATAAGATTGGTCAGGTAAAAATTTTATTAATTGAATGTAATTTATACAGATGTTACTGAGAAGTCAAACTGGGATTTCTAAATACCCTTTGAGTTCGCAAGTAGGTCCATCATGGGGGTCTATCCCTGTAAATGTACAACGGCTCTTGAAATGTTATCTAAATTATTAATTAGACATTTAATAACTTAACCAGATCATAATCAACTCTCGGTGCCATAGCTAGCCTGTGATATTTACTGGATTTGAATACATTTTGTGATGGATGATTTAACGTCAAAATGAATAATTGAGACTATGTTTTTTTTTATCCTACCGACTTTAGTAATGATGATCGAGGCTAGGCCTAAAATTCAATTGCTACTACCTCGGTTCAGAGTGGAACAATTTCACCGAAATTTTCAGCATATTCTCTTTACATTATCGATTTTATAACTATGATAGCGAAAACTGTCAGCTCTTTATTTATTCTCCTATAACGCTCCTTTAAAATATGATAATATCCAATGTTGTTTTTTTAAAATAAACTATAACACATACTTATGGAGGAACAATTACTGATTTATTTAGGCGACGTTTCGAAGAGTATTCTCTTAAGCAAACGTTGAGAGAATACTCTTCGAAACTTCACCTAAATAATTAAGTAGCTGTTTTTCCCATAAATATGTGTTATAGTTTATTGCTCTATCCAGTTACGAAATGCCTGTAAAAGATCGTTGGGTTTTTTTTTAGGTCGATCTGGGGTGGTATAGTCATGGTGAACAGTTAGAACATTGGTACGAGATAATGGAACACCCACATCGTGCTACAGATTACTGGCATCCAATCATCAAGACGAACAAAATAACTTCATGACGTCACACAACAGGCTATCAACCGTTACTATGGGAATCAGCAGACATTTCCATAACTTTTGCTTCATCAGGAACGATAATCATCGTTTCCAAAACGAGTCCCAAATTGCATATTTTAATACATTTTTAAAGTTGGTGTTAATTATTTAAAATAATTATTGATTTATTGATTGATTTCATATAACTGCTAATTAATTCATGTGTTTTATTCACAAATCACTACTATTTTAATTTTATTTTTACAACCATTTATAAACAACCTTTAACAATAGTCACTGTGTGTTTCAGTTTTATAATCTATTTTATTATTTACACGCCAGGGTCCTGTTTCTTGAAATCTTAACTAAAGATAAAATCCAAATTTTAGTAGATACTTCAATTTTGATTGGCTAAGTACAAAAATCAATCTAATATTATCCAATCAAATTACTAAAATTTGGATTTTATCGTAGTTAAAATTTCGTGAAACAGACCCGTGGTCAGCCCATACAAATACATTTAATTAACATTCCATTATATTGGAGCTGTAAAGGAATTGTGAAGCATATCAGATACCTTGACTGCGTTGGACAAGCATTTGAATATTTTACCCAAAAGTAAACAAAACATATCAATTAGGTTCACTCTGTAAAGTTATGTGAAGTGTTGGCCATTTTAAAATATTTTAAAACAAAATATATCAATTAGGCTTACGCTTTAAAGGTGCCTGATACCTCGACTGCATAAGCCAATTTTGTATGTTTTACCGCGAAGTAAACAAAATGCTATCAATTTTAGTAAAGATATTGTGAAGTAGACCTAAAACCTCGAGGGTACTGTCCAATTGCGAATATTTTACGGTTAAGTTAACCAAATTAAGTCAATGATTCTGATATCGCAGACCTCAAAAGCCCCATTGAAGTTGGCCATTTCTCTACTCAACGTTTATTTCTTTACAGCGAAGTTCAAAACAAACGTGGTGTAAAAATGAAATATAATTTTGATAATTTTGAATGTTAAAGAAATATGTCTTGTTTTGTTCACCTATTGCAGTATTACGCTGATATTAGAAACTGGGGGTTTTTTTTAGACAGAATAACAAAAGCAGCCCCTTGGTTCCTCTGAATATTAAAAGCAGATATCAATTCTGCTTTTCATTCATTGAACATTTTAAAACTATTATAATTACAAAACAATATGAGGGCAGAAGATCTTTAAACACCACCTTAATGGAGCTAAATTGCTAATATTTTGAACCTCGAAATTGACGCAAATGGGTCGCAACACGTATAATAATGTAATATGAATGTATATAAACTGATTTACATTCAATTTTTTCCGTTTTTACTCTAATTTCAAATCAGTTATGTTCGGCGAAATACGCCAGAAGTCTTAACAGAATGGCAATCTTTAGCATCTGGTTTTTTCCAGTCTACACCGATGGTATTTATTGTGCATGCTCTTCAGATAAAACTATGGCGTCACGGTTTGGCATGACTTGTGGAATATGTCTAGTCTCGTTCTTCGATTACCTTGTTACAAATGGCGACGATACGCATTCTGGTACACGATTCGTGTACCAATGATAAAATGTTTATTTTGTATTAAATATTGGATATCAGAAGCCCATCTTTTCCCGGTAAGATCACAACATCAATGTTGATTTAAATTGACAAATAATTCGTGTTTTCAATGTCGAAGACTGTGGATGATATTTAGTTAAAGATTAGCTACTTTAAATGACAATATAAAAATTCATTTACCATTCTGATTTGGGGTGTACGCCATCTTTTCTGTTTTGTTTTGATTCTAGAAAGTTAAATTTGAGATTTGTTCCTAGCTGAGTTCTTCTGGTTTGTAGACATCAGTTAAATCTCTGTACCTACAGTTGATAGCCTTGTGTGTAGCTCTATTTTATTTGACCAAATTAAATGAGTTCTTTATCCTATAGCTTCAGAGAATAATTATTATTATTATTATTATTATTATGTGTTTAGTCCGTCTAATTTGTTTTCGATTGTTTGTTTTTGTGTTGATTGATTTTTTTTTATGAATTTATAGATTGTTGTTTTCGAAAAACCGAAAAATTAAAAAAAAAAAAAAAAAATAAAAAAGTATGTGAATAATTCTTTATTTTTAAGGAAGTTAAATTGTAAATAAATAAATAAATAGATATTTATGTATAGAATGTTTCTCTTAACAAGATGAGTCGTACAGTTATATTATATTGCCTATTTAAAGATGCATTATGTGAGAAAGCGAGAGAAATGGGGTTTAACGTCCACTCGACACAAATTAGGTCATTTCGGGACTAACACATGGTTCAATTTTATTTCAATAATTCTCTTGAGTGTATGGTTTTTTTTAGCAGTAAGGAAACCGGAGGACCCGGAGAATGCATTATGTAAGAGCTAAATCTGCCAACATGTAATTGCAGGTCTTTTTCTGACTTCAAATGTTGCATACATTATTATTTAGACATTTATTCACATAATCAACTCTCTAGACCATGGTTGGGATATTAAATGAATTAGCCAATGTCCGCCATATATTCGTTAAACTTTATTTATTGTCAATATTTTGAACATTCCTAACGTTCAGAATAAAGTATTCGGCGGAAATTTTCAATATATTAATTTTTTATTATCTATTTTTGAAACTATTATGACGGCCATCTCTCTATCTAAATCTTACATAATGCAGCTTTAATGACAGATATTCCATTACACAACAGGTATGTATATCATTGTACATAGGTACGGCAACGAAGTATAACAACATATGAACACTCAACAACGTCACATATCACCACATGCCGACATCATCGTTTGATCCAGCAGCTACACCGAGATACCGACCTGTTCAGCCTCTGCTACCCTTTTAAGGGAATGCTGCGGCTTCCACTTTCGTTTATTATTATAATTACTTTGATTTACGTCAATATAAAATATTGAATTGGTCCCAGATGGACATCATAGTCATCTAATCAAAATAACCATATCTAGCTGAATATAATATCTAGTTCGATGATATACAAGCTATCTGAATACATATATATGATGTACTGTCTAGCCGAATTTTTGATATACTATCTAGCTGAATATATGATATAATATCTAGTTGGATATATGATATACTATCTAGTTTGATGATATACTGTTTAGCTGAATATGTGATAAACTATCTAGCTGGATATATGATACATTGTCTAGCTGAATATATGATACACTATATAGCTGACTATATGATATACTAACTAATTTGATATATGAAATGAAATGAAATGAAATGGAGTTTAACGTCCTACTTTTCTGCTCCTAACCTGGGCTAATGAAGACTGGCATACGCCATACAGTGTGCTATGGGGGAAATTTTGCCCAGACAGCGGCACTACGGCCTACTCTTATATCGAATTCCAACTGCCAAGGGATCTTTTACGTGCACGCCAATGTGTACACGGGACCTCGGTTTTTCGTCCCATCCGAACGACTAGACAGCTTTCCTTGTCAGCCCCTCCGTCCTGCATCACTGACAAGGGAGAACCACGCCGGAAAATCTGGATGAACTTTCTCGGCCAATGCAAGGATCGAACACCCGACCTCCAGGCTAGCGAGCTAGCGTCTTACAATTTGATATATGATACACTATCTAGCTGAATATATGATATACTAACTAGCTGAATGTATGATATACTATCGAGCTGGATATACGATATACTGTCTAGCTGAATATATTATATACTAACTAGCTGGATATATGGTATACTGTCTAGCTGGATATGTGATATACTGACTAGCAGAATATGTGATATACTGCCTAGCTGGCTATATCATATACTGCCTAGCTCGATATTTGATATACTAGCTAGGTGAATATATGATATACTATTTAGCTGAATATATGGTATACTATCTGACTAACTATATGATACACTAACTAGCTTGATATTTTGAAAAATGTATTTGCCATCAAAGTCTCAAATGCTTTGATTTTGATCAAAATAATGTGTTAAATAAATTTTAGTTACGAGATATTAAGCGAAAGTCTATTTTAGCTTCATTGTTAGCTTTAAGTCGAACTCATCATCATAGATACCCGAATTTAATCAAATCGACAATTTTATTTTTTTTAAAACCAAATCATAGTAATCATTACACATTTGGAAAAAAGGATACTCAGTGTGGACAATACATATATTTTTAATATATTTTAATTTATAACACTAATGTCGTAATCATGGCGGCTGAAAGTACTTAAAGTAAAGTTTTAAAATTGTAATTGTACTTAAGCATAAACCAGTCGGAAATTTTAAACATGGCGGCTGTGGGCTGTAATTTTAAACATGACGGCTGTGGGCTTTATTTTAAACATGGCGGCTGTGGGCTGTATTTTTTAAAACATTGTTTATTGTTGTATGATATAAATAAATATTCCAAAACTTTCATGTAAGATACCAAGATGGCTGTAATCCGTAGCTAAACAGCTTTTTTTTCTTCTACTGATGAATTATAAAGACGAAGCTTGTCTACTCTACCTGTTTTCCCGCCATTTCTTTTTGTAAACTCTGATTAAAATACAGATCTATATTTCGTTTCGTTTTTTTATACTTTCGATGGCCTCTACTACATGAAGATCTGACAAGTTGTACTCGGTGGTCGTGTCAGGGGTCGTACGCGCGACTTTTGACCCTATTATGTCAGACATTGATTAATCAATCAGCGTTGGCGTTTCTAGTGGGTTACCCACAGTTCCGTGCATGGCACGTCAAGAAGTCACCGTAACAAGCTGTTTCATTGGCTAATCCCTCACTTCAACCAAAACCGCGGTAATATAACAACTCTTCCAGAACCTTGTGTAGTGAAGACAAGTAAAACAAAATTTTGAACTATAAAAAGACCAAACGAAATAGGATTTGTGTTTTAATCCGATTGTGTAAAATGTTGACCCGTTTTAAAAGATAACTAGTCGTGCAGGCAAACGTCTGAAGTTTGTAATCTTCACATTTTCAGAATGAATCAGTATGGACACATTCGAACTATTTCTTGTAATGACTGTCTCTTCAACTAAATGCGACTCAAAATGAAATGGGGTTTAACGTCCTACTGTTTTTGCACCGACTAGGCTAATGAAGACGGGCATATACCAGACAGTGTGCTATGCGGAAAATCTGGCCCTGACTGCGGCGCTATGTTATTCTAAAGACCGAAAAATGGCGATTGAATTCGATTTTTTTTTTTTTACGCCAGGGTTAAAATATTTGCTTTGAAGACAGTGTTTAGATCACGTGTTCTTATTGACTAATCAAATTGTCTGCTTGCTTTATAGTGAATTTGGGAAAACTTTTGCCCGGACAGTGTTAATGGATCTTACATGAAACCCGTTGATAGAGTGAAATGTTAATGTAAATATTTATATATATATATATAAAAAGTATGTATCTCTATATTTCAAAAATTATATTGCTATATTATATGTAAAATATTGTATATATTAAATTAGCCCCTTTATAGTTTAAAACCTTTATAATAAAATATAGACCTTTATGTATAGTTTCAGACCTTATAAAATAAACCCTTTATTCATAGTTAAACCCCTTTAAATGTACAATGAACATTGGCCCCATAATGTATAAGAAATTAAGCCTATATACGATAGACCCCTTTATTAGTAGTGAAAATCTTTATGTACGTTCTCGGTATACTTTAGTGAAAAATAGAGTCAATGTCCATCGTTAAATTATTGTTTGTTCGTCATTCTTGTTTATTAAAGTGCCCAGTGTACTACTGTTGATGAAGTAATACAAATACATTATTGATTCGTTATCAAAATATTATTAAGATACTTGGCCGAATATAATATAATTGTTAAAAATGAAAAATCTGATTTATTTTTAGTTGTAAAAATACGAATCTATAAAGATTGCCTCTGTAATAAAACTACATGTATATCTATAAAAGTTTATTTGTTAATGTTATACCATAGTAAGAGCTGCTACTGCTGTGCGCAGGGCAGTACATTTGCAAAATCATATCTCTCTATAAAGTATATTGTGACGTCTTGCACACTAACGGTTAGGTCATCGAAAGCTGAGGGAGCGGGGGGAGGGGAGAGGGCGTCGGAGGCGGGGGGGGGGGGGCGGTAGGGGCTTGGATGGCCGAATGGTTCGTGGTTTGTCCCTATTGGGTCCACGATCTGGTACGTGCAGGCACGGACGATTGCTATGACTGATCTTAATAAATGATAAGACATGATAGGATCACCACGTACTCTACGATTAAAACCACGATTTCAGTCGCAGTGCAAATCGTGATAGTGGGCACCTAGCATTATATTTAGCACCAATAGCCCATACGTTATGGTCATTTTCAACTTGGTGGGTTGGATGGCCGAATGGTATAACAAAGAGAGAGATAGAGAGAGAGAGGGGGGGGAGGGTTTAAGGTCCACTCGACACAAACTAGGTCATTTCGGCACTAACATATGGTTTAATTTTATTTCAATAATTCGCTTGCGCGTAGGGGTCTTTAGCAGTGGGAGGAAACCGGAGGACCCGGAGAAAACCCACGAGGTTGGACAGGCGACCCTACTCCTTGTCACGTACAGATACAGTAATACACGTAATACTGCTGCAAACATGCACCAAAAAGTAATCTTAATCCCTGGCAAAAATAAATTGAAATTGTTTCTGATGAAGCCAATCTATGAAGAAAGATTACACATACCCTTCATTATTCACGTGGTTACAGGATATAAATTAGCTTTTTGAAATACAAATTACCCAGAGACAAAGAAAGAAGTCAAAAAAAAAAACAAAAAAAATGTTGCCCGATTTATAATCACTACAAACAACAAATAGACTGCCGAGAATGGCAGCTATTTTAAGACTCGGTTGGTGTAACGTTATTAAAAGAAAATGAGTTTATTAATGGACTTCCTCTAGGAAACTGCGTTTCATTCTGAAAAGATATTATTCTTAATATAACGTATAGTTTAATTTATCCCACGCACAATCGACGGTTGTTTTTTTTTTTGGGGGGGGGGGGGAAGGTCATTATTTATTTATTTTGATTGGCTAAGCACTAAAATCAATCTATTATTATCCAATCAAATTACTAAAATTTGGATTTTATCTTAGTTAAAATTTCGTGAAACAGGCCCCTGATCCCATATTGCTAGTTAAATCACCAGTGTGGTTGCCATATAGACTTTTGTCGCCGGCGACGAGATGTCAAAATCAAACACGTTTTCCCAATTGCACCATAAAGCAGTGGTTTTCAACCTTTTTTTTTGCAACGACACACATTCGAACACATGGAAAAATAGCGGCACACCTGGCTAAATATATATGAAAAATATTTGAATTTTGCAAAATAAAAACACGGTAAGTCAAACGGCATACAACCGTATACGACATAGTCATAGACACATAGAATAACTCAAACTAAATAAAGAAAAAAAACCAGCTATGAACTTATTTTATTACAGTGTTTCGAATGTCATCAATCAAACTTTAATGCAGTGTTTCGAATGTCATCAATCAAACTTTAATGCAGTGTTTCGAATTTCATCAGTCAAACTTTAATGCAGTGTTTCGAATGTCATCAATCAAACTTTAATGCAGTGTTTCGAATGTCATCAATCAAACTTTAATGCAGTGTTTCGAATTTCATCAGTCAAACTTTAATGCAGTGTTTCGAATTTCATCAATCAAACTGTAATGCGGTGTTTCGAATTTCATCAGTCAAATAGCTGACTTCTTTAGTAAGAAATTTTCTTAGTGTGCCGTTCAAAATTTCGCGGCACACTGAAGAAGATCTCGCGGCACACTGGTTGAGAATCACTGCTATAAAGCAACGCATACAATTTGATTAGTCAGTAAGAAAACATGATCTGAACACCGTCTTGAATGAAAATATTTTAATGGAGTAAAATAAAAAAAAATCGAATTTAGTCGTCATTTTTCTGAACTAGTTGGTCTTTAGAATAGCATAGCGACGCTGCCTGGGCAAACTGTTCTGCATAGCACACTGTATGGTACATGGTCGTCTTCATTAACCCAGCCGTAGTAAAACAGACAGCGATTGATCAAAGCAAAGGTGGGCGAAGCATTTCCAGACAGTTTTTTTTATGGCTTGACTTTTAAAAAAATAAAAAAATAAAATAAACACATGCTGGCATTGATAATACGGATATAATATTACATTTTTAAAGAAGCAGAGCAGGATGACGTTAAACTTGATTTTTTTTGTTTTTAAGATAGAAAAATATATCATATTGTATGAGATAAATATGTTTAAAGTACAGCAAAGACCCGCGTAAAATTAATTTACATGGTTGTGTTATTTCAAAAGCTGAAATATTAAGAACATAACGGTTGTCAAGTGCATGAACTTTTTTTTTAAACAAGCGGTTGCCATGCAAGATACGCCCACATTTTGTAAGACATGGACAAAACACAGGCAGGGCCCATACTCGAAAGGAACCGAGATCTTCGGGTTATTAACATACATTTCAAGTTTCATCTAAATCGGATAAAACCGTACAATCGGGGGCCATAACCCATGAAGTTTTGATCCGATACATGCCAATATCAAAAGAAAGGAACCGAGATTTTTTGGGAATAAACCTATATTTCAAGTTTCGTCAAAATCTGATAAGAATTGTGACCTGCAGAGTGTCCACAAACAAATTGTGGGCGGACAGAGGCGAAGACAACATATGTCTACATGAAAATACTGATATTGCCATAATAAATCAGTTCTCGGCTGTTATTAAATAGGTTTCATATCCAACCGGAGAACCAAATAGATGCTTAGTTACTCGAGCCCCATGCAAACAATAATCTGAGATACAATGGCAGAACAACTCGACACTAATTTGTCTGGATATGCTGACGAGACATAACATATAGCTGTAGCAAGAGTCTAAGTTCAATATCTTGTGGAACTCATGTGGTGAAAAACACCACAGACCCAAAACACTCTATCAAAATTATTCTGGAATGCATTTATTTTCAGTTTCTTGTGGAACTCCCGTGGTCAAAAGTTCCACCTTGTCATAAATGTGTAGGCGGGACAATTAATTACCTACACGATAAACGGAGGAAATAATTTTATTTCACTGTGAAACGTAGACACAATGGTGTGAAAGTCAAAGGGCAGTAAAATCTTTGACCATTAATAACAGCCAGACACACGTTGACAACATGGACTCATGGATGAGATAAACCTCTGAATGATTGATTTGTGACCTTTCTGTACTCTCGATATAATGCTGCTTATCCATTTGTAAGTCTCGACATAAAGCGAGAGAGAGAGGGTGTGTGAGAGAGAGAGAGAGAGAGAGAGAGAGAGAGAAATGGGGTTTAACGTCCACTCGAAACAAAATAGGTCATTTCGGGACTAACACATGGCTCAATTTTATTTCAATCACTCGCTTGCGCGTAGGCGTCTTTAGCAGTGGGAGGAAACCGGAGGACCCGAAGGACCCGGACATCACCCATGAGGTTGGACAGGTGACCCTACTTCTTGTCACGTACAACCTGGGAATCAAATCCACGCCAGTTGACGCAATGATAGACGTGCTAACCATTCGGCCATCCACCCCCCCCCCCCCCACGATATAAAGCACCTGCAAGGTATATTATAATATATATAATTTGTGACTGACAAAGGCTGTGACAGGTGTCTTCTCTCTAGGTTTGTCAAGTTGCCGGTGATTTTGCAGTTAGGAACCCTAGAGAGACGGCGTCCAATATGGTCCTTTAGATGCTGGATTGGGTAGAAGTCTGGAAAGAGGGCTGCCTATTCGAGCACTGACACATTATAAAGATTCAGAAAATCAATGGAGGCACGTAACTGGAATGAATTAGGGTTTATCTCCCACTTTTCTGCCCCAACTGGGTTGGTAACACATGCTGTATGCGCTGGACAATTATCATGCTGAAATGGGTTCAAATTTAGCGACGTTGAGTCAGAATTGGTTCAAAGATCGAGCATTATGGCACGCAACCCGAAAGGACGTAGTCCGTGACGAAGTGTCAATTGATGAACCTATGTCTAGTCCGCGACGAAGTGTCAATTGATGAACCTATGTCGAACCCTTATAGTAGCAGCAGCAGTGCAGGAAGCTGTTAGCGTGCGTTCCCCTGAAGATGATGCCGGATAATGTGCCAGTTTTTCATTTGCGTTAACAAGCTTGTCGTCAAGACCTTGGTCGATCTTCAATAGATTCCGCCTGATGGAAAGGATCGCCCAGATTCAGGATGCTAGCTGAATTAACGCAAATGGCGCGTTCTCTTTGTTCATGTATCAACCATAGCATATCGTTCCGATTTCCATAATTCTGTACAAGTTTTACTGACTCCTGCTTTTTAAAAGTCACATTACATTTTATACCCCATGTAGGAACCATAAAATCGCGATTTTCAACATCCCCGTTCTGTGGACTTCCATTTTTTATGTTCGTGAGAACAGATCTTTTGTGCAATGAAATTCGACGAATAGTGGGCAAAAACACCGTCTTGTATTATATATCTGTATTCATTTCATTTCATTTCATTTGAAAGAACAAAAATGCATAACAATGTACGATCCATGGTAACAAAATCTTCTAAACCATAAGCACTGACAGAATAATCTACAATTTCTATTTTAAAACAGTTTAAGGTTGATGGCTACAATACAGGAGAGATTTGCTATTGAAATACGATCGTTAAAAAAATCCCTTTCTGTCATCCCTAATCCCACCAGAAATAGATGAAGCTTCGAGATAAACGCGAACCTCAGATGTTTGACGTAAAAGAGATAAAAACACATTCGTGGAATTTACTGTAACCGGATTAGATATTATCTGGTCAAATTAAACCCGAAGATTGGTGGATTAAGTTTTTCGGATAATCCAAATTGAACAATTTCATGGCCTTTAATATCTTTCTTTTTCTGAGGAGCTTGAAACAACTATATATGAAATGAAATGAAATGTGGTTTAACGTCCTACTGTTCTGCTCCTATACTGGGCTAATGAAGACGGGTATACGCCATACAGTGTGCTATGAGGGAAATTTTGCCCGGACAGCGGCACTATTGCCTACTCTTATATCGAATTCCAACTGCCAAGGGATCTTTTACGTGCATTCTAATGTATACACGGGACCTCGATTTTTCGTTAAATCCGAAGGACTAGACAGCTGTTCTTGTCAGGCCCTCCGTCCTGCATCACTGACAAGGGGGAACCACGCCGGAAAATCTGGGTGAACTTTCTCAGCCAATGCAGGGATCGAACACTCGACTTCCAGGCTAGTGAGCCAGCGTCTTACCCATTTAGCCAGTGATCCCCCAACTATATATGAACCAGGAGAATCCGATTCATGATGTTATCGGTGTAATATTGGAAAATGGTGGTCCATCTATTGGTGTGCAATTGTCCAAAGAACAAGCCTGCCACGTTTTATGTTGATTGTACTCGAATTGAGGGAGCCTTATTTTTTTATATTTTTTTGGTCCAAAATTAACAAGATGATGATTCCCAATTTCCAGATTCAAAAATACAATGTTAACAATCTTAAACAGATGGTTATAAGTGAGTAGGAATAAGCACTTTGGAGACATGATTGTGTCACTAAAGCATTATTGAAAAAAGAAAATCGAGTATGGTATAATTTTAATTTAGAATGGTGACAAACCCTTTTAAGGGTTTGAGGGGGTTGCTGTAGACTGTAGACATTTAAACATGGACCCCTGGACGGAATTTATATACAAAAACAACTATACAATCAAAAACAACTATACAAACAACTATACAATCAAAAACAACTATACAATCAAAAAGAAACTATACAATCAAAAACTTATGGATACATTATGAGAAGTGCAATTAACAACTTAAAGATACATTATGGGAGATTAGATAAAGAGCTGTCAGTTCTCACCATAATAGTTAAAGATAGGTTGCCAGGCAACGAAACATACGCCCACAGCAGCTAAATCGTCCGGGCAATCAACAAGTGTTGTCGCATATTTTTACTTTTTTCGGTAATGAAACATTTATAATACACTAAAATCTGATTAAGAGTAACAACTCATGAAGTAATTATCAGAAAACCATTAGAATTTGTTTGTTTTTTATAAAGTTCTGCCCCATGCTAACGTTTAGTATACAAAACGTTCAAGTCATAAAAATTTACTTGTTCGTATCAAGATCTTAAACTCTGTGTATCAATCTGAAGTCAATCGGATGATAACTTTAGCCTCTAGAGTGTCACAAGATTTTTCAAAGTGATCAAGGGCCATAACTTTGGCAGTAATTATCAGAAATCGTTGAAAATCAATAGGATTTTTCGTCTCATGACCGCAAACACTGTGTATAAATTTAAAGTCAATCAGATATTAACTTTAGCCTCTAGAGCGTCCACAAGATTTTTTGAAGTGATCAAGGGCCATAACTCTGGCAGTAATTATCGAAAATCGCTGAAAATGAATAGACTTCTTCGTCTCATGACCTTAAACACTGTGTATAAATATAAAGTGTGAACCGAGAATTTAGCGGGCCCAGCAAAAATCATAAGTGGCTTCTGTTGACTATATGGCCTGCAGGGATGTGGAACAGATTTTCAATTCATCATTTATATCTTTGTAGATACTGAAAGGAATTGGAACAATTTTTGGACTGATATTCCTTTTAAACATACATTATGCAAGAGGTAAATCTGCCTATTGCAGGTCTTTCTTTAGGTGTGCGGGGGGTTGGATGGCCGAATGGTTAGCATGTGCGCGATTTATCACAAGGCCTGTCATTGAGTCAACTGGCGTGGTTACGAATCCCTGGTTGTACGTGACAAGGAGGAGGGTCGCCTATCCAACCTCAAGGGTTTTCTCTGAGTCCTCCCAAAATGACCTAGTTTGTGTCGAGTGGACGTTAAACCCCATTTCTCTCTCTCTCTCTTTTTTTAAGCCTGAAATGTTATATAAACTATTAATTAGATATTTATACATGAAAAGACAATAATAAACTCTCAATGCGATCTTATCTGTCCGATTTTTATTGGATTTGAATCTGATCTTCTGTTCAACGTCTGTTGATGATTAAACGCAAAAATTAATAATTGAGACTTTGTTAATAATTGAGACTTTGTTAATTATCGTGACAGTGGCAACAATGACAATCGAGACTACAGAGATCTTAAAATAAGGTTTTGACTGAAGCAATTTGACTGAAATTTCCAGTATAACCCATTTACACCATCTAGTTTTTAACTATTATAGTGAGAACAGCCAGCTCTTTATCTAATCCCCCATAATGTATCTTTAAGGGATTCAACTTTCACAACATGGTAGTTTACAAGGGATTAACAATCTGTTCAGTGACGATCAGCAACTTTATCAATAAATTATTCCTATAGCTAAGCTACAGCTACAGCCACAGCTACAGCTACAGCCACAGCTTCACTAACAGGCATACTGATGACTACTGGTAGTTTACAAGGGATTAACAATTTCTCCAGTGACGATTAGCAACTTTATCAATAAATTATTCCTGTAATTAAGCTACAGCCACAGCTTCACTAACAGGCATACTGATGACTCCAGTAATAATTGGTACACTTCTACCACATTTTAAAACATAAACCTGAAATTAAATCAAAGTGTTAACCCTCAGTTGAGATTCTTTGTAATAAAAACCCAGACTTATTAGATTCTTTGTAAGAAAACCTAGACTAGTTAGATTCTTTGTAAGAAAATCTAGACTATTTGGATTCTTGGTAATAAAAATCTAAACTAATTAGATTATTTGTAATAAAAATCTAGACTAATTAGATTCTTTGTAATAAAAACCCCTAGACTAATTAGATTCGTTGTAATAAAAACCTAGACTAATTGCATTCTTTGTAATAAAAATCTAGACTAATTGGATTCTTTGTAATAAAAATCTAGACTAATTAGATTCTTTGTAATAAAAACCTAGACTAATTGGATTCTTTGTAATAAAAACCTAGACTAATTAGATTCTATGTACGAAAACCTAGATTAATCTGGGTCTTTGTAATAAAAACCTAGACTAATTAAGATTTTCAAATGATTTTAAATTGAGGTTATGTGAATATGGAATGGAATGAGGGATAATGCTTGTGTTCCAATTGTCCAACTTAGTCACATATGCAGGTTGAAACTGATTGTCTTGAAAATTGACAGGATTTAAACACAAATAAAACTGGCATTTGATGTCATTTCAACTTATTTTGGTACTAACATAATATTATTTAATTTGCTTGTGTGTTGGGACCTTTAGAAGCTGGAGGAAACTGCAGAACGACGTGAAAACCTAAGAGGTTAGTCTTAGTCATATACAAATTGATGACAGACCATATGATCTGGTCCTCATTGCCTCCCCTCCCCCACTTTTAGAGACCATTAGTAACAGGGATTAACATGATCTTGTCCCCACCAGCTCCCTCCCTGCCTTCATATGAATTATCCGACAAGGTTTCAACTTGTCAATGGTGCAGGACGGAGGATCTGACACAGACAGCTGTCTAGTCATTCGGATGGGAAGAAAAGTTGAGCACCTGTGTATACATTGGCGTGCACTTAAAAAATCCCTTGGCAATTCGAATTCGATATAAGAGTAGACCACAGTGCCGCTGCCTGACAAAATTTCCCTCATAGCACACTGAATGGCGTATGCCTGTCTTCATTAGCCCAGTTCAGAGCATAACAGTAGGACGTTAAACCCCATTTCATTTCATATGATCTGGTCCCCATTGCCGTCCTCCCCACCTAGAGACCATTAGTAACAGGGATTAATATGATCTGGTCCCCACCAGCTCAAGAAGTTATTCTTAGCCATATACAAATTGATGACAGATCACATGATCTGGTCCCCATTTCCACCCTCCCCACCTTTAGTAACAGGGATTAATATGATTTGATCCCCACCAGCTCCCTCCCTGCCTTCATATGGATCATATTCTTAATAGCAATAACCCAAATTTGTGGTAGGTAAGTTTTACAGATTTGGCGTTGCCAGGAATTTTAAAATGAACAAACAATAACTTACTTTAACGTTATCAGAAACACCCTTTTCATTTAAACAATCGATAAATGTTTCAAAGGAATAGTTCAAGCCAGGTACTAACATCGGAGCCTGCAAAATATAAATTATTGGTTTGATATATGGTATTACAACATGAGATGTCTAGGTTTGGTGGTATTATAACATGGGATGTCTAGGTTTGGTGGTATTATAACATGGGTTGTCTAGGTTTGGTGGTATTATAACATGGGATGTCTAGGTTTGGTGGTATTATAACATGGGATGTCTAGGTTTGGTGGTATTATAACATGGGATGTCTAGGTTTGGTGGTATTATAACATGGGTTGTTTAGGTTTGGTGGTATTATAACATGAGATGTCTAGGTTTGGTGGTATTATAACATGGGATGTCTAGGTTTGGTGGTATTATAACATGGGATGTCTAGGTTTGGTGGTATTATAACAATAGGCACTACACAGCCTGTTCTTATATTGAATTCTAACTGCCAAGGGATTTTTTATGTACATGCCAATATATACACAAGACCAAAGTTTTTCCTTGCATCCAAACGACTAGACAGCTGTCCCTGTCAGGCCCTCTGTCCTGCTGCACCACTGACAAGGGGAAAGCACATCGGGAAATCACGATAAACTTTCTCGGCCACGGCTAGATACACGTCAAGAAGAACCTTTAACTTTGTATGGATGAAAACATTTTGCCAGCTGCTCTCCCCGACCACAATTAATATATGACATTTAAACAGATGAAAGGAGATTAATACAGGAGTTATGCAAGCTAAATCCATGGACTTATAAACCACATCAAGACAAAGGAGCTTATAAATAGAATTAATTATAGGTCAAACAAAGTCACGATAACCAGGTCAGATGTCTGGCGTAATTTTTCCGTCTGATGGTTGAGAATAACTCAATTTAATGATTGTTAGGAATTTCATTTGGTTGTTTTTTTTTACAGTTCCTGCCTTTATTACAAAATGATGTAGTGACTGCAATCATTTAATAGTTGTGATTCTTCGTCATCCAGCCATATCTACAAATGGTATGTGTTGTCGTCGGAAATGTCTGATTCTTTCCATAACCATTTTCATTTGTTTTATAAGTCTTTTTTAACCATGAGAGTCTCGATCATTCCAGTAGATATATATCTATATAGTCAGCATTGTGCATACTTACAGTCTGGTTGATCAGTTATTTGTCGGTTTAAATCAACATTGATGTTGTGATCTTACCGGGAAAATATGGCCTTCTGATATCCAATATTTAAGACAAAATAAACATTTTACAATTGGTACACGAATCATGTACCATAATGCGTTTCAGCGCTATGTGTAATAAGGGACTCGAAAAACGAAGCTAGGCATATTCTACAAGTCATGTCAAACGGTGACCCTATATTCTTATCTGGAGAGCATGCCCAATAAATACTATCGGCGTAGACTGGAATAACCAGAAGCTAGAGATTGAAATTCGATTGAGAATACTGGCGTATGTCGCCGAACCTAACTGATTAGAAATTACAGTAAAAACAGAAACGATTGAATGTAAATCAATTTATATACATTCATATTACATTATTGTATGCGTTGCGACCCATTTGTGTCAATTTCTAGGTCTCAAATATTAGCGACTTAGCTCCTTTAAGCGAAATACTATAGGCTGGAATAATCAAGACTAATTCTGTCTATATACAGGTCACACTTCTATGGAATACAATTACCGTTTTTTATTACTGAGCGACGTTTCTACTAGGCTTCTCTAGACTTTATCAAATAATGAAGATTTTTTTTAATTTTTTTTATTGACTGCCACATCTCCATTATGAAGTCTGATAAATTGTTTCTCTGGCATTTACTAATTGAACTGAGGTATACAGGTCACAATTTTATGGAATACAATTACTGCTTACTGTATTCCATAGAATTGTGACCTGTATATTCCAGTTCAATTACTAAATGTCATTAAAACAATTTAATTCTGCCTAATGTTCTTTGCATTCAAACTGTCAAGGATTTTTTTTATATGCATGCCGATGTTGACCCCGATTTTCCGTCCTATTGTAAACAACTAGGAACACAAATACCACCCCATGTCAATTATACGCTTGGTTTGGAAATTCCAAGAAGCTTTTCTCCATTAACACTAGGATTTGAACTCAGACTGCTCAATGGCTCTTAAACATACATTATGCAAGAGCTAAATCTGTCTATTGCAGGTCTTTCTTTAGGCCTGAAATGTTATCTAAGTTATTAATCAGACATTAATTAACCTATCCAGACCATAATCAACTCTAGATGGCATTGCTAGCCTGCGATCTTTAGTGGATTATGAGTAGATTTACTGCAAAACTTTCCTGCACGATTTAACGATTAAATGGATAATCGAGACTATGCTGTTTATCTTACTGACTTTAGTAATGATGATCAAGGCTAGGCGGAAATTTCAATCGCTTAGTTCTCGGTTCATAGTGGATCAATTGAATGAAATTTTCAGCAAATTACCTTTACATTATCTAGTTTTTAACTATTATAGTGAGAACTGCCAACTCATTACCGAATCTCCCATAATGTATCTTTAATGGTTAAATGAGCTAAATCGCTAACATTTAGAACCTAGAAATTGACAACGCATATAATAATGTAATATGAAGGTATGCAAACTGATTTACATTCAATCGTTTCTGTTTCTAATCAGTTATGTTTGGCAAAATACGCCAGAAGTCTGATTCGAATGGCAATCTCTAGCATCTGGTTATTCCAGTCTATACACCGATAGTATTTATTGCGCATGCTCTTCAGATAAGAATATGGCGAACTGTTTGATATGACTTGTGGAATATGTCTAGCCTCGTTCTTTGAGTGCCTTGTTACAAATGGGGCTGAAATGCATTATGGTACACAATTTGTGTATCAGTGGCAAAATATTGGATATCAGAAACCCATTTTTACCCGGTAAGATCACAAAATGACAAATAATTCATGTTTTCAATGTCGAAGACTTTGGATGATATTGAGTTTGAGACTTTCTTCAGGTTTGAACCATACGTTGGACAAGAAATTACCTCTGGATTTTGCAGCAAGGTACCGGCATGCTTGTCAGTAGTGCAAAACGACTAAAGGCAGGGGTGGATCCAGAGGGGGATAGTTTGGAGGGGTCCCCCCCCCCTTTCAGTTTCAGCTACATAAAAAATTTGCTAACAACACGTTTTATGAGAAAAGTGTCATGGTCGTGTGTCAGATGGTGGGATGGAATGGGCATTCAAAGCGTGAGATAATGAATATGGGCATATGAGAAAGAGAGAGAGAGAGAGAGTGGGATGAAACTGGAGGCCCCCTAGAAAAATCATGAGGTTGGACAGGCGACTCTACTCCTTGTCACGTACAATGGGCGTGGTATCGATTCCCCGGTTGTACGTGACAAGGAGTAGGGTCGCCTGTCCAACCTCATGGATTTTCTCCCACTGCTAAAGACCCTACGTGCAAGCGAATTATTGAAATAAAATTGAACCATGTGTTAGTCCCAAAATGATATAGTTTGTGTCGAGTGGACATTAAACCCCATTTTTCTCTCTCTCTCTGGAAATGAAATGAAATGAAATGGGGTTTAACGTCCTACTGTTTTGCTCCGAACTGGGCTAATGAAGACGGGCATACGCCATACAGTGTGCTATGAGGGTAATTTTGCCCGGACAGCGGCACTACGGCCTACTCTTATATCGAATTCCAACTGTCAAGGGATCTTTTACGTGCACGCCAATGTGTACATGGAACCTCGGTTTTTCGTCTCATCCGAATGACTAGACATCTGTCCTTGTCAGGCCCTCCGTCCTGCATCACTGACAAGGGGGAACCACGCCGGAAAATCTGGATGAACTTTCTCGGCCAATGCAGGGATCGAACACCCGACCTCCAGGCTAGCGAGCCAGCGCCTTACCCACTTAGCCACCATGATCCCCCTCTCTCTCTGGATTACCATTTTCAGAACTATGGAGAGTATAGTATGGATGGCATCGTGATGGAAATGTCTGTTTTATGGGAATCATGTGTGACAAACATCATTTAATTCAACAGAAACTAATCAATCAATAATTGATTAGTATTAAGATAGGGAGAACAAAGACTATTAACCTTGATGGTAGGTACATTACACATAACAAATCCGGTAACTTGGTACCAGGCAGGACAATAAATAGTTAATTATACCAATTATCGTTTATAAGTTGACTAGGTACCTTGTTTTATTTAAACGGTGACTTAACTTTAATTATATACTGAACTATAGCTGTTATATCAGCTATATAATATACAATAACATCATTTACAAACATAACAACCCAGATATACAAGACATGTATTTTAAAGGGAGTCACAGTGGCTAAGTGGTTAAGACAATAGCTCGCTAGTTTGGAGGTCGGGTAATCGATCGCTGCATTGGCCGAGAAAGTTCATGCGAATTTCAGGCCTGTTTTTTTCCCTTGTCAGTGGTCCAGGATCGGGGGGGGGGGGGGGGGGGGGCGGAGCGGGATCTGTCCGGGCAAAATTTCCCTCGTAACACACTGTATGGCATATACCCGTCTTCATTTGCCGAGTTGGTGCAGAACAGTGGAATGTTAAACCTCATTTCATTTCATTTATATTTTAAAGGGCATATGACCAGTGCCAGGTTTAGGAGAAGAAAGGTCACAGATTCCACTCACAGCATGCGGCCCTACCAATCCCCCACCTTCACGACTAGAGGAAGATGAAAGAGGATTATCGAGGGTGTCAGATTCAGAGAGATCCTAGACTATTATGAGGCCCTACCAATGCCCCACCTTCACAACCAGAGAGAGAGAGAGAGAAATGGGGTTTAATGTCAACTCGTCACAAACTAGGTCATTTCGGGACTAACGCATGGTTCAATTTCATTTCAACAATTCAATTGCGTGTTGGGGTCTTTAGCAGTCCAAGGAAACTCGAGGACCTGGAGAAAACCCACGAGGTTGGACAGACGACCCTACTCCTTGTTATGTACAACCTAGGAATCGAAACAACGTCAGTTGACTCACTGACAGACCTTATGATACAGTGCGCACATGCTAACCATTCAGCCATT